ATTGATTGGCCTGGAAATTTTCAGAAATGATTTGAAAAAGACCTTCATTTTGTTGCAGGACTTTCCTCCCAACATAATAAATATTACGGTAAAGGAGGCATAAAGTGCAAGCATGGATTCAGGTCCCGTGGAGGCAGATATTTTGCCCGTAACTCAGCAACCATAAAGCGGTCTCGACTGGGTCTTCGGTTGATTTGATCCTGACTGAATGTTCAATGTCATTATTCCGTAGAAAACTCAATCCTAACGGGTTCTGAAACCTTTGCCGCCGTCATCGAGGGGCTCAGTGGGGAAAAAGAAACGTATGAAGCACATGCAAAGAAATGAAAGGCTCCACGACATATTAAGAAAAAGCCAGTTTGAGAGTGGTTATGCACTCTTTGAGATTGAATTAAGAATTAAGGAACAAATTGCAAAAAGGACTAAAAGATTAGACATAACAGGAACGGGAGGAAGATAGAAATTAGCAGGTCGCGCGGCTGCACTTCTGATTTACTTCTCGACAATCCTTATTGATATATTTACGGGGTCCACCTAATGGTAAAGCAGCGGAACTTTCTCAAAGCCCGATGTTTTCCATGAAGATAACGAAGAATTTATTTATTTATTTATTTATTTATTTATTTATTTATTTATTTATTCAATTTTCGTGCTCTATTCCTCCGAATCGGAATGAATTTGGGGTTTGTTCAACAGAGAAATGTTTTTAAATAAAGAGAAAAAACATAAGGAAATCGAGGTGGCTGAAACAAAAAATTGCCGTTCAAAGTTTCCGAAGATGTCTTCATTCACCCCATTCACCTTTCCTCACTCGGATATCTGGGAAAGAATCAGGATGATAACATTACAGCTGCATCATAATAAAGCTTTACTACGATTTCTCCTTTAAACATAGGTTGTAACAGAAAATTTATTGGGAGGTGCATTGAATTTTCGCAGTTTGACGATTGTCCCAAACACATTTCTGCCTGAAAACCTTGCCTTTTGAGTCATGAAAGCCCCATTATGCAATTATCAAGAGAAGCCTTGAGATTAGAGTTTTCGATTTCGATATCTCTTGAGAACCGTTTTACGTTATTGACAACTATGTAAGTTGCTTAATAAGTTTATGAATTTAGATCAACTAGCGATAGAAATTGCTAGCGACGGAACGACAACTGGCGAAGCAGATTCTGAAATACCCGACGATCATACTCGTACCATTGTTCTAAAGAAAAAAGGAGCTAGTGGACTAGGATTGTCCATCAAGGTGAGGTTGAGCTAAAAATTTGACATAGCTAGGACGTCCCGCTTAACCACTTCGTTCCAGGGAGGTTCAGAGAATGCCCAAAAAATGCCCATCGTTATATCGAAGATATTTCCGGGAATGCCAGGTGAGGTGAAGTAATTGAAGCTGGTTGATTAATGATAATCCGTTAATCCGTTTTTTTATTATATTTCTGCTGAAAACGACTTTCTGTGCATAGTTTTTGCAACAGCCTGACGTTGAATGTTCTTACAGCAACCGTAGTCAAAATGACAGCGCTTGAGACAGCTCCTTCTTGAACCTTTTTTACGAACTTCTCCCCTGGCATATCCTACTTGAAACATGGCAGTTTATTATGTCAGACGGCTCCAACCCCAAAGAAGGAGCCAAATCNAGGACGTCCCGCTTAACCACTTCGTTCCAGGGAGGTTCAGAGAATGCCCAAAAAATGCCCATCGTTATATCGAAGATATTTCCAGGAATGCCAGGTGGGGTGAATTTATTTGGGCTCTGGTCAATTATTGTTGTTCCGCTTTTTTATTATATTTCTGCTGAAAACGACTTTCTGTGCATAGTTTTTGCAACAGCCTGACGTTGAATGTTCTTACAGCAACCGTAGTCAAAATGACAGCGCTTGAGACAGCTCCTTCTTGAACCTTTTTTTACGAACTTCTCCCCTGGCATATCCTACTTGAAACATGGCAGTTTATTATGTCAGACGGCTCCAACCCCAAAGAAGGAGCCAAATCGCTCATATTACTCTTAGCACTATCTCAACATTAGCAAACTTATCCGCCCTAAAGTCGTTTGAAGAACTACAGCGCACTAAATGAATCATTTGTAGCGTATTCCTGTGGCAGAACACTGAGAAAGCGTGATAATTTGGCCTGAAAATAAGCCGCAAAACAATTCCTTGAAAGGAACTTTCGGTTCTTTTAAAAACACTCCACAATCAGCTTTTGGTCTCAGAATTTATCTACATTTGGTGAAGTTTCCCCTGTTCTCCAGGAGACCACCCGAAAACATTTCAATTTTTTTAGGAAGTTTCTGAAGGGTGGTTCAAGGGTTAACTATGCATGACGTACCTTAAGTAAGTAAGTACTTTGTAATGATGCTTTCTATGAATGGTATGTCAAAAAACACTCCACAATCAGCTTTTGGCCTCAGAATTTATCTACTTCAGGTGAAATTTTCTCTATTATCCAGGAGACCACCCGGAAACATTTCAATTTTCTAAGTTCTTGGCGTAACGGGTGCAATGTCTGCGACTTATTCAAAAACCCATGATCGCAGTGACAATCGACGTCCGAAGTACCTATTTGTTGGACAAAGTGACACATTTAAATGTAGCCTGAAGTAAGAACTCTATCTTATGCGAAAGTAGTATCTACCAGAAA